ACGTTAAACCCTTTTTGTCTCGCCATAAAGTGATTTCTCGGCTGATTTTTCCAATTTATAGCAAGGAATCGTTAAGGAAGTTAACTTTTTCACTATAGGGTCCCATCATAAAACCGAATTAGGAATGGGGAAACTATAATATTTGTACTCAGAATCTAGAATTCAATCCAGATGATTACTAGAAATTCATTGTAATATTGTTAATGTATATTTTGCTTTGTTAATTAATAAAACTAATAAAAATATATATAAAACACAGCTATTGTTTAATACGCGTAGGCAGCTAAGTGTATCTACTACTTATTCCAGAAAGGAATGTTTTACAAAAATCAGTCCAGTAACTTCTCCTTATATTGTTTATTCGAGAAAGTGCTCGTCTGTTTTCATTTTGCAAAAAAAATATTTTCAAATATTCATAATAAAAATATTGTTACGATGATCGGTGAGTAAAAATCGACGTGGGTAAAACTCAACAATTTATTTCACAGTGATACTAAACTACACTAACCATACAGCGATTATGTACAGAGTAATTCCGACTCGACTGGAATGGATTTGACTAGGCTCTACTTCTCCCATTGTCTCTCCGACGGTGGTTCCCATTTAAAGAGCCACGGGGTCCTTCTCGAACAGGGTATTCTATGGTCGCCGCTTCTAGGCTTATTCTAGACAACCCATCACGACTTCCGCTTCCAGGTTTTTCTTTAGCGAACGCCGTCCAACCGTCGTCACCGACGATAAGTCACCCGTCATCGCCGCACATGCTTCAAAACCCATAGGCGTCGTACCGGATCGGCGTATGGGTTTATTTCGTAACTATATGGAAGTCTTGGGTATAAAAGATGTACACCTTATAAATTATTCAATTACATAGGCAATAAAACACAGAAACAAATTCATCAGAATAAATTTTATCTGCTCTTTAGTAAACTAATCAGATAATGCTAATGCAACTTCTTAAAAGAAACCTTTAGTAGGTAACTCTTATCTTATACTTTTCAGTTTTTCAGAATCGCGACTATTTTACAAGCTGATTCATTCAAAAATCTTAAATATTTATTGACAAAGTCTAATGTTAGCTTATCCCTACGAATAATTATTCGAAATAGGTTTCGATCATTTGTTGAACTTTAGTCCTATTTGACTCTTTGGTAATAAATTTTAATTTTATGGTATAGTTTCCTCAAACCTATACGGCGTTTTAAAGCTTAGTAAATGTAAACCATGCTACGTGCCAGGGACGGCCGAGACGCGAAGGACCGGACTAAGAGTAATTTTGTTTCTTCCGTACCTTAATTATTTAATCATTATTCTGCACATTTGAAAATATTATTAAGATAATGAAAGCAAAAAACATAAAATCTTTAATAAGTACGATCGCAATCATAGAAAACTGGTCCACAAAGTTTTTTGATAAATCAAATAATTTTGACGATGTCACCGGCCTTTGTTTCAAATCCAGAGGGTACATTCATATTGCTGTTATATTAAAAATAATACATGACTAGAGAGCGAAAAGTATGCAGCAAAATTTTGAGAAATATGATCATGTAATATGCATGAAATTTATGCAAATATGCTGTAACTTTATTAATATATGCAGTTGCATATCCTCCAAAAATTGAAAAGAAGTGTAATAACACAACTAAATTTATTTACAAATTATAAAAACAGGTTTATCAAGCTTAATTTTTTTAATAAAAAGTGCATAGATAAATAAAATTTTTAAAAATTATTGTCTTACAGTAAATAGTGACAAATAAATAAAAATTAATAATAATAGGCCATTTAATTAGTATTTTTGTAGCAATTTATTTTTAAATACTTTTGGAAATATTGTAGCAAAAAATTTTGCCGATGATCCGAAAACATATTTTGTAAATAGAAGTGCGGTTTGTAGCAGAAGCTACAAAACACAGTGCCTTCTTGAAGAATAAATTCAGGAAAAGACCAGTACAGGACACGGTTGATAAAAGCGTTAACTGTTAATTTAGAAGAGTCGAGTGATGATGACAGTGACTATTTCGATCAGTAAATAAGCAGTTGTGTTAATAAGTAAATAGTTGTGTATATCAAAATTCTAACTAATTGGTCGTAATAAAAAGTGATTGAGTACAAAGTTACTTTGTTTTTACTTAAAATAAAAAAATCGAAAGGCGCAGTTGTCGGTAAATGCAAAACTCAGTCCTGCCCTGTGCTTTTACCAGAAAAGGTCTTTTCAGGTAGGTATTGGTGAGCGGATTTAAGACATCCGGTTGTGACGGCCTATTGAATTATAATGGGAGTCAAATTGGTGTGAAGTCATAAACGCCAAATATGTTTGAGGGAACTCTATTTTGTTTTTATTCTTTTAAGGAACCATCAAAATAGCTGCAACTTTTAAAGAAAACATTAGCGAACCCATGTTTATATAATATTTTTTGATTTGTAGAGTACGCTATAGGATTTTTGCCCAACGTTTTTGAATCACCCTGTATATTCATAACCCGCACAGTTATAATTTATAACCATTTAAGCTTGAAACTATTCATCACTATTCAAAACCCTAATACCATTTCAATCTACGTATTACCGATCGTATCAAATCCTTCGTATCTAAATAACAAGAAAACGGCATTAATAATATGGCGAATAAATTAATAGACGGGCTTGATAAGCCCTATTTGCTCTACAGTGCCCAAATTGTATTTGAATAGGATAATTGTCTGGAGCACTAAAATTAATAATATTTCAAAAGAATACCGGAAATGATTATTCTGTGCTAAAGCTCTGTTGTCGGTAGCCTGTCATAAATTATCATTATTCTTCAATATCGGCTTACCATGTTTTATGACCCTTTCCCCTAATCGTCTATTTCGGGGCGGCAGGTAGATTTTAGGAAGAATTAATGGTTGTGTTTCTGTACATTTATAAGTTTACATACCTACTATACACAAAATGTATACATATATATATTTTGATTTTTGAAATTCCTTTGACGAACATTTTTATGACATTTTTTTTAATTAGGTGTAACCAGTTAAAGGTTCAATTAAGTATAAAACTCGTAGACCTAACCTGATCGTGAAAGTGTACCCAAGAATTACCGAAAATGTCATTTTTAATCCATTTTCATAAACAAAAAAATGACATTTAAAAATGTAAAAATTGACGTCAAAACCTTTTACGTCCCACAAGTAGTTATTATGTAAGTGCATCATAATCATGACGATTTGATGTTGCCCAACAAGCAGCACACGACCTTAATGAACGCATGAGTAGGCGCTAGATTCGATTGACGTCACACTTTCGAATATTTATGCCAAATTTTTTGGAATGACAATTAAAATGTAATGTTTGTATACAAACACATTTTATTTAATAAACAATATTTTGTGTTTTAACGGATTGACTCATCACAATAAGTGAATAACGTATGAGATAATATATTTAAAAATCTAAGTTGTATATACGCTGCGCCTCAAAAACTGTAGAGCTGATGTTATGCTACTCAAAAAACACACTGTATATTTTAAAAATTTTATCATAATTTCAGTGGGTTGTGGAATATATTTTGCTCATTAACACAACAAACTTCCACAGATGACCCTATGTTGATGCAAAATAAATAATGACAAGAGAAAATGCAGAAATTAGTGATCCGAAATCAAATCTAGCTCCTAAATACACAGAAACTGGAAGAAATTCTTCATCATTCTTTACAAATGTTCAAAAGAGATTGCTTACACTGTAAAATAATAAAATAACAGAGATAGTAGTAAAATTAGTTAAACAAATATCGTAAATTAGAGTAGGATGTTTATTATTTTGTTCTGACTGGCGTAAAAATTTTCCTTTCACGCAAAACACAAACATTGTCTGTAGTGTGAATTGCTAGATTTTGAATAATATGTATATCGCAGTAAAATATGTATAATACTTCGTTATATAATAATTAATAATACAATAATAATGCAAAAATTATGTAGGTACAAGTCCCCTTGAATGTTTTGAAGACTTTTGAAAGCTGCTGTATATTCCAAAGCTCTGTTTAGAAGAAGACGAAATCTACATATAAATTACTATGAGATGGTGAGCACAAAAACGTAAAATGATTTCCATTTCTTGTAATATATAGGTAGGTAACTGATTTTTTTACAATTTTTGTTTAAAAGATATTCTTAAGGAGGAACTATGGTAAGAGAATTTTTCAGTTTTGACAAACAGACAATCTGTGCTACGTTAAAGCTGAGAGCTTAGGTTTACTATTATTAATAATGTGAATATTCCAGACCTTAGTAATTTATGAGATTTACAGTGAAATATGTATAGGGCATCTAGGAAAATAATGGTTTTAAGATCATGACTCCCTCTCTACCTTGTCAACAAATAATAGAATTTATTAGATGCAAATTTAAATTTATGACACCATGCTCAAACTTAGGTAGCGACTCTTTGTTCTGTTCAACAGGTACCCTTCTTATAAATAGAGCCATAAAACCATTATTTCTCTGGGGGTTCTACAGTTAAGTACAGAAATTTCTTTACTTGTGGATTATGACTTATCCGGATGCCTCCTTATAATAAGAAGGAAGAATTTGTAGCGTTATTTATTATTTGACCGTGTACCAGTAAACTGTGCTGTAGTGTGGTGAAATTCGTGTCCCTGTGGAACAACTTTTATGTTTTGATTTTTTTTTTAAACTGGGTAAGTATTAGTGAGTAATAAATTTAGTTCTAAAAGAGCTCAACTGAACGTAACAATGTACTGCAGTTTCAAATAAATTAATTGAACATTAAATTTCTCAAAATGAAGAAACAGAATTATTTAGGTTCGCTGTGCCAAATTAAAAAATAAGTTTTTCTTTTTTGCTTTAACAAATCATTCAGTGCATTAAAATTTTACTAAATATTTCAGGAACTTCAGTTTTCTCGCAAAAAATAATAAGTTACAAGTTAATAAAAATATAACTTTTTAAACATTTTTGTTAAACCATGTATTTAGTCTGTAATAAAAATTTGGTAACCGATTTTTCCAAGCGTCGAAGGATACGGCCGTGGTCGAAGGTCATACGAAATCTTGATCCCAACATTTTATTACTATGTCAGGATATAAAATATCGTCAAATTTTGTAATAAACTTCGCAAAAAATAACAAAAAAAAAGTGGAACATGCGTTTTGCGTTGATAACCAAACTGCAAGGTTTCTAAATAAATTATGATCTCATTGTCCCAGAAAATAAGAAAACACATTTTGATATGCGACATGTTAACGTAAAGTTCATTTCATAAGGAGACAAACCAAAAATGAAAAAACGTTCGGTATAAAAGCGCCTTAAGTTGATTCGAATGTTGGGAATTTTTGCTTTCAAATGTATGAAATGTGTTAGGGATTTTAGTCACTAGGTTATGAGGGCACTGGTAGGTTCATTAATTTTGTTCTTTGTTGTTCTTTTATTTTTGTAGGTTAGATTTATAACCACGATGCAACCGATGCAACCAAAGAAATAAGAAATATGCATGTTATTTTAATAGCAACTCTAAATGTCGAAAAGAATTGTTTTTGTTTTGATTAAGTTTGCCTGACCTAGAAGACTTTAAAGTATGTTTTAGTTATTTTATAACATGTGAACAATAATAATGATTATGTTGCAGAAAAATCATGTCAAGAGAAAATGTTTTCGGAAAACCAAATGTGTCTCCGTCTTACGAGGATAACTACAATGGGGCGAAACACAAGTTAGGACAAAATGCCTCTAATAAAGAAAAATACAATAGACCAAGGAGCAAATCACGGAACAGGAAAGTTCCGCAAGAAAATTTTGTTCAGACCACAACAAATCATCAAAATAGGAGATCTACAAACTTTCAGTCACTGAATCATGAAAATCATGAACAAATAACTACACCACATTATGTGACTTCTCCCGCACCAAAGTCAATATGTAGAAATAGAAGTATCACCGTACATAGGTACCCTTTTGTAATAAATGAAAATGCTGGATTCTATACAGACATTCAAAAGCTCAAGAATGAAAATAATCCCAAAAAATCTTTTGTTGAAGATAGTGCAATATTAAATAATTCAACAGTACACAACTTGACGGAAAACAGTGAAGTGAATGATAGTTTTCAGGGAAAGAAATTAATAGGGGCTTGTCCTAAAAGTTTGAGTGCGTCAAAATCCGTGAAATTGGGTCAGCTGAATAATCTCCATAGTAAACCAAGTGCTATCAAAGATTCTTTACCAGAAATTTCAAAAGAAAATGATGTAAATGTTAGAAGTGGAGTAAAGTCGCCTCATGTTATGAACAAAGAAAGAGTGTCATATAAAGAGTCAATTTATTCAGAAAATACTCAAAATTCAACAAAAATAAATGTAGATAGAAACTTGAATAAGTCTTCAATTTTGGTGAACAAATCTAGTGCAGCTATAGAACCCATTTGTTCTGATTCTGACAAACAGAAAACGGTGTCTTTGAAGAATAAACTGTATGCAAGACTCCAGAAAGGTGCAGAATTAAGCAAGGAGAAGACTGAAACCAAATGCAACAAAAATGAAACCTTAAAACAACGTACAGTTAAATCTCAAGAAACTTGTACATGTGATAAATGTGATGGCTTCATGGAATGTTCAGCTTGGTGCAAAAATAATTTATTTTTCGCCAGTGAGCCCAAGGATTCCAGAAAAGGACTACCGCTGTTAAAAAATAATTTTATGGAAAGGGTGCCAACCATTACAAAAACAGTTGATAATAAAATAATTCTCCAAGGGTAATTATTATTGCAAAAGTACATAACTCTTAATAAACTATTTTTTTTTTCAGGCCTATCATCCCAAAACCAGTGTTTTCTTTAGATCAGACTTTTATAGATGAAACAATTCAAAACAATTTGCAAACGTTGAATTGCACCTCAGCCAAAGATATACAGGCTTACATCTGGCCTGCAGTTCAGAGGGGATTAAGCGTTTTTATGGTTGGACCTCCAAAATGTGGAAAAACTTTCGCATATCTACCAGCCTTCTGTTCATTATGTATTGAAAAAAATGAAAGATATGCAGAATTTTCTGAGTATGAAGGACCATTAGTTCTTATTCTGTGTGCTACTGTGGAAGATTGTTATGAATTACAGAATTGTACAAAAAATTGTATTACTTCTGGGGATGTAACAGTTGAAGTTTTAACTGATGAAGCTTCTGTTCAGGTAATTATTCTTTGAACTATACTTTAATCTGAAGTCTTATATTTATTAGCTGATATTTCATGAATTTTTGTGCATTATTGATTCAGTTTTACTTCTGATTTGAGCTTAATATGGTATTAAACTTCATTAATTAATAGAAAAAAAAGCTACTTAAGTATTTTTTACCGTTTTCCATATTGACGTATAATGATTGCATAATTAACTAAAACTCATAATTATGCACCTTTTTGTTCCAACATTAATTTCATTCAGTTAGGAAAGCAAAGACTCATGATCAGAGTTAATAAAAATGCGTTTTGAGCTTGGACCAAGATAATCTTGGAAAGTTTCTTTCCCAAAAAACATTGAAAGTCTCCAAAATTAACAAGGTCCAAACCCGGAAAACGTCTATCTGTTGCCACTTTGTTAATTTTAATGTTTAATTTCAAATCTTTTAAAAAGTATCAATGTTGTTACAGTACTATGTAATAGTGCTATACAGTTTTATGCTAGTGATTGTTATTTAACAAGCTTGGATGGAATGAATACATTATTTATTTATTTTAGGGAAATTGTGACATATTAATAGCAGTTCCTTCAGTTCTGGAAAATCATTTGAAATCAAGTTCAGTGAAAATGAAACGTCTTTGTCACATGGCGATTGAAAAAGCACACGTTGTGTTAAAAAATCAATGTCAAAGCATACAAAAAATACTCAAAGCCGTGAACATCATACAAATGAATAGACCACGAAATAAAAATATACAAGTTGTAGTTAGTTCTGAGAAATGGTCCCTTGATCTTGAAACGTTGTTGAAAAAATTATATACAACTCCTCTTGTATGTTTTGAAGACTTCTTGGAAGCTGCTGTGTATTCCAAAGTTCAATTTAAAAAGAAGAAAACGAAAACTACATATAAATTATTTCAATTAGTTGGTAAGTATGAAAACGTAAAACGATTCCATTGCTTCAGATAATAATTTTTTACAATTTTTAGATATTCTCAAGGGGCACTATATGACCCAGAAGGCGGTTGTTTTTTGCAGTGAAGAGGAAATTTTCAAACTGAAAGAGCAACTTATTATAAGCGGCATCGAGTGTATTGCGATTTCAAACAACTTAATTGAGGACGAAATCTTTGAAAATGAAGATACGTGGAATTTTTTGCGCTGTGGCCACTTAAAAGGTAAATTTTGCTGTTTTGCTTTAACAAATTAATCAATTTTTATATTTTAGTGTTGTTGTGCACTGATTCGGTATTTGAAAAGGCAGTGAATGTATCTAGTGCCCAATGGCTCATCCATTACCACCTCCCTACAGACTGGCAACAGTATCAAAAGCGTTTTAGATGTTTGTCAGCCAATATAAACTCGCCCTTTGACGCCCAAGAAACCATAGTTTATGAGTTGCAGTCAAAATGTAGCTTCATTATCATAGACGAACTTTGCAATGATCAACTTTTTTTGGATTTTTTTGAAATTTTAACCCGCAATTGCACCAAATATTTACAGCTGTAATTAGGTACTAGGAATTATTTTTTAAGAGTGATTTTTAAAATGTGAAATACGAAACTATCAAAGACTGCAACTTAGCTGTTAAGATTGTAGTGTTAATTGAGCATTTTTAATAGGAAACTTTATATTTTAATTTGTCAGAATTTTACTTAATTAAAATTGAAGAAAAAAACTCAGGGGCTTCATTCTCCACTTACAAAAGACAATAGGTCGTAAGTTTATTAAAATATAACTTTTTAAAAACTTGTATTTTTGTTAAACTATAAACAAAATATATAACGAAATATGCTTAGTCAGCTCTTGTTGATCGCTTTTTAGAAGCGATTCTTGAGCTGCGCCTCAGTGGCGTTTGAGGTGGTTGAAATTTAGGTCCATTTGTGGAATTTTGTGACCGCCGTTCTGGTTCGTTATCCCGCGCTGAGGTCTTGTCTCTGTATGTCCAACGGCCTATTCTACCGTCCCACTGAAAAACATGGTTTAGCTTTGCTGATCACGTAGACTAATAGCGAGCGCTTACTGATGTTGTGATTATTTCGTTACGGTAAGGATGCCAGTATACATCTCGTACGCAAGCTTTGTGACCATGGACGAACTCTTCTACTTTACCAGTAAGGGAATCATAAACTAAAAGAAAATAATAATAATAAATTAAAAAAATGGATAACGACTTTCATGCAGACTTACTTATCATATCCCCAGTTCCAGATCCAGTATAAATATATCTTTGTCCCGTTGTTTCTAGAGGTGAAAATCTACACCTTACCAATGTTTTTATAACAACGTGGCCTCTGTACGTCATAATTGAAGTATCTCCCTCTAATTTATCTTTGGAAGTAAACACTAAAAAATAAAAATAATATTATTCTTTAATCTGGACACTTTCAATAGTTGGTTTATTTTTACTTTAAAATATGAAATTAAAACTATAATACAATCTAACAATTCTTCAATTGTTAATTCTCTCTCAAATATACCAGAAAATGTCTCAGAACCTACTTAAATGCGCATTAGCGAAAATTTGAGTAATATTTTTTGGTGCTGTGGGTTTACTTTTAACTTCACAACCTCTTTCATATTGTAAAATTATAGAATGTTAATTTTTATTTTTCGATTTAAATTTTTTCAATTTTTTATTATTTTTTTTGTTTTTACGAAATGCAACCTAGGGGTTTTGATTTTTAAATTTTTAACTTTTTCGATTTTTCAACTTTGGGATGTTACTGTTTATGAATTTTACAATTTTTCGATTTGCAATTTCACGTGTTTTCAATTTTTCAGTTTTCTCATTTTTCAATTTTTCATGTCTTCTGTTTTCGATTTGCAATTTGTCGTTTCGATTCTTTATTTTCTTTATTTTTTCAATTTTTCAGTCTTTCCGATTTTATAATTTTTTGATTTTCAAATTTTCTGTTTTTCAACTTATAGATTTTTTAATTCTTCATTTTTTCTCTCATCTTCCAATGTTACAGTTTTTCAACTTCACATTTTTGACGATTCTACAGTTTTTCGATTTTACAATTTTTTGTTTTGTTTCTTCGATTTGCAATTTTTTGATTTTTCAACTTTTGAAATAAAAACATTGGTCGAAGGCTATTTCGACAGAACTTCCCTCGCCCTTGCAGTATAATCCGACAAATCCAGTTCCTTAGAAAAAAATGTAAAATTTTATTTTACGATTTCGTTTTGAAATAACTTCTGTAAAGAAAAAACCAGGGGCATAAATAACACCCCCACGCCCCTGCGTCGTACAGACAATGCAAAATATATTTAAAGCACTTAACTAACGGGATAAAATGTCGTTCAGCACTAGCTAATAGCAATCTGAAGCTCAAGTGTTGATTTATGTTTATACATCGAAAGAATGTCACACAGAAATTAATTTGATTTGAATGACAGAGAACAGAGGACTAAAATTATTAATTAAACCATAATCGAACATAATGTAATGAACATTATTATTCTTATTGTATCATTATTATGTAAAGTCGTGCGTATTCTCACATTTTCGAGAAAATGGGGTGACTGAAATAATATAGAATGCGGGGGCAAAAGAGAAAAAAAAAAAAAACGAAAGGCCAAGTCGGACATTTTATCGACTAGACCACAATCAGGATGTCTTACACTACGGGTAAACTGCTATTCTAGCACACATTATGTTTTTGCGAAAATTTGGACGGTTAGGGAAAAAACTCAAAGCGGATTCGTACACCACACGTATAGGAGATATTGTTGTATAAGAATTACATCAAATAAACATAGAATTTTTTGAAATGACGTCATCAAATTGTTGGTGGGGATGATTAGCAAAATTTTTGTTAGCATTTAACCATCTACATGACATTTCTAATATACATACAAAATTTGACCACAATCGGTCCAGTAGTTTAGGAGATCACGTGTTTAATAAAAATGGACACAGACACCAGACATACAGACAGTCGGAAACGGGAGACTAGTTTTTTCGTACCGTACGGGTTATGAAACGTCAAGAAAATGTAAAAGTGGTCATTCGTCCGATGGACTCGATTACTATACTTCCTTAGCTTACGCTTGGGAAGTAAAAAATTGGTAGAAAGTTATTTCGACAGAACTTCCCTCGCCCCTGAAGATTAAATTTTTCAGTTTTTCAATTTCTCCAACTTTTGAATTTTTCGATTTTTATTTTTTCAATGATTCCATTTTTCAATGTTTCGATTTTATGATTTTATAATTTTTAATTTTTTGATTTCAATTTTTTATAATTTTTTTGTTTCTGAAATTTTACGAAATGCAACTCTTCTCTTTTCAGTTTTAATTTTGCAATTTTTCGTTTCGGGTTTTCATTTTTTCTTTTTTCAATTTTTCCGTTTTTCAATGTTAAGATAATAATAATAAGATCAAATTTATCGCATAATAGTACAAAAGGTACAAATGTTCTGATTTTATAATTTTTCTTTTCAATATATTTTTCAATTTTTGGATTTTTTAATTTTTCGTTTTTTCAATTTTCATTTGCAATTTTTCGATTTTTAATTTTACAATTTCTCGATCTTTTGACGATTCTAGAATTTTTCGATTTTACAATTTTTGGGTTTTTTAATTTTTCCTTTCGATTCGTTTTTTCTTTCCAATTTTTGTTTCTTCAGTTCTTCGATTTGCAATTTTTCGTTTTTTCAGTTTTTCGTTTTTGAATTTTCTCGGATTTTTTAGTTATTTGAAAAATGGAAAAATTGAAAAAACGAAAAGGTATAAGAAGAAAACATGAAAAATTCAAAAATTTGTAAACAAGAACTTGAAACATTTAGAAACTGCAAAAATAGAAAAAACGAAATATGTATACTTCACTCACTTGACATAATATACTTGGTACTTTTATGACATAAGCGACTTAAGCTAACTAAACCATCCCTGTAAGTCAAACTAGCTATTGTAAAATTGGAATATTGAAAATTAAAGAAATCGGATAATTGGAAATCCAAAAATTACTAAACTGAAAAAATTTAAAAATTGGAAAATTGAAGAATTGAAAAATCGAAGATTGAAAATTTGAATACCTAAACGAGAAATTATAAAATCCAAACAAACGTTAAAAAAAGGAAATGAATAAACGAAAAACTGTGATATAAAATCGAGAAAATGAAAAATAAAAATCAACAACTTGAAAAATTGAGGAAACGAAAAATTAGAAAATCGAAAAATGAAACAATTAAATTTGAAAAAACGAAAAATTATGAAACCAAAACATTGAAAAATGTAAACATCGAAAAATAAAAGAAAATGAGAAACGAAAAATTGTGATATAGAAAAATTATAGTGCAAATCACAAGTATAGAGTCATGTTTTGCATAACTAAGAGATTCATTAGGTCATAAATTTTTTGAGAGGGGTAAACGAATAAATTTTGATTAACGATTTACCATGATTACGATAACCTTAAAACGTTTGCAAGATTTCGGAGCATTCGGTCTTGCAGTTTCAAAGTTAAATTGCAAAATGATATACAAATTTGATTTTTTTTCCAGAAATCTGTTTTGAGTGAAAACTCAACACGGATTCATACATCACAAGTGTAGGAGTATTTTATTTTATAAAATTAAAAAGATATATATTATTGTAAATTGGAGATGACGGTATCTCATTGGTGACGTGGTGATTAGCCAAATTTTGGTTAGCGTTTTACCCTCTATAAGATATTCCTAATATATGCAAAATTTTACAATCGATCCAGTAGTTTCGGAGATTGAAAAATTTAAGAAACGAAAAACGGAAAAATCGAACCATTAAAAATTGAGAAATTTAAAGACTCAACAAGTGCAAAATCGAAAAAACGAAATATGTAAACTTAACTCACTTGACTTATACTCAGTAAAACTTTTATAACTTAAGGGGCTAAACCCAAAGCCAAACTGGCTATTGAAAGCTACGACAAACAAATTTTATAATACAATACAGTACAATAGCCAGTTTGACTTATAAGGGTAGTCTGGCCACCTTAGGTCATAAAGTTTTACTATATAGGTATATGTCAAGTGAATTAAGTATATTGTAAAATCGAAATGTTCAAAAATTGCTAAATTGTAAAATTTTAAAATTGGAAAATTGAGAAACTGAAAAATCGAAGATTGAAAATTTGAAAAACTGATTAAACGAAAAACTGAATGAACGAAAAACTGTGATATAAAATCGAGAAAATGAAAAATTAACTTGAACAATTGAGGAAACGAAAAACTTGAAAATCGAAAAATTATAAATTGAGAAACTGAAAAATGGAAAAATTGAAAAATGAAAGAAAATGAAAAACGAAACATTGTGACATCGGAAAAATGGTCGGAGGTAAATACATCCAGATTTTTCGAAAAATTATAAGATTTGATGTCGCAAATTTTATTTTCATAATAACCCTTAAAACAAAGATATGCATTAATGTCAAAGTAATGTAAATTTGGGAGATGACATTATCCCATTGGTGGTGACGTGCGATTAGCCAAATTTTCGTAAGCGTTTCAGCATCTACATGATATTCCTGATATACATACATACAAATTTGACAACAATCGGTCTAGTAGTTATGTGTCAATAAAAAATGATACAGACGACCGACTGACGGAAACGGGAGACCACTTTTTTCGTATTCTAGAGGTCGTTAAACGTCGAGAAAGGAAGTAGAAAACATCTTCATTGTCTCCACAGTAACAGACATACGCATTTTCATTATAAACGAAAAATGAAACTTCCAATCAGTTCAATAACGCTGTTTTGTTTGTGTCTGTATTATCTTCACAGGTGAAGATCTTATGATTGTATTGTGACCTCTACATGACATTAACGGATTGTCAGATCATGTAAGTAATTGTATCACTATGAAAATTTCACCGTTTTCTACACCAGGAAAATCCAATTTGTTTTTCAAGATATCAAATTTTGAACAACAATAAACATACAATTACTTTAAAATGATACATTGCCAACTTTAACATTATCTTAATTACAATAATTATTGTGGTTTGTTTACGCGCAATTTAAATCAGGAAGATGATAACGCTAAAATCGCAATTCATTCCTTAACACTACACTGGCGAGTGATAAGAATCCACAAATCTCGAAAAACTGTCGAGTCATTTACAGAAGGTTAAATAAAAAAGAAAACCCACACCAGCCTAATCTACTATGTTAAAAACATCATTTCCAAGTCGTTTTGACTAATTATAAACATACAAGCAGACATATGTTTTTTATTATTACGTCTGAACACTCAGGCGTCCATAAAATACTTACGCCTTTTTGGAACCTGTTGCCACCTATAATCCCACGTTTGTTCGTGCACAGCCTGCAAAGACTTTTCCGCTGCTTTCTCTCCAGAGAACACCCTAACATCCCACAGTTTTATACTCTGATCTTTACTATTGGATATTAAATGTCTACCATCTCCTCTTGAATCAATGAACGTTATCCCGTCCATATGGCCAGCAAGGACTCCCACTGGCTTAACGTAAGACTCACCCAGCGTCCTCCTATCCCAAACTTTAATCAACCCATCATCCCCTCCACTGTAGATGATATGTGAGGAAACATCCGCGAAGGCCACACTATTGACATCATATTCATGGGCAGGAATCTAAATTTCAGACGATCTAAAGATGATCAAGACGGTGTTAGTAATACCTACTTTCACCTTGGCGTGTGATTGGAGATCATAGATATACAAACAACCATCGTTTGCTCCACCCAGAAATTCTTTTCCGTCGGAAGAAAACACCACCGAAAATACGCAAAACCTTCGGCTGGTGCGACTAAGACAAAGTGGCTCCTGGTGGCTGCTTTCGTTCAGCGAACACAAGTGTACTGTAGAGAAGAATAAACACGATGGTTCGTATTCTGGTTAAGGCACTTACGTGACGATGACCACGTCGAGTATAAAAAATGGTTCTGGTCTGGACTTATTGCTACGTCTATGATACTCCACCCTATGTCCCTTGCACTTAAACTATTAAATAATTTGTATGACGAGTCGTCGGATTTGTATAAACGAATCTGTCGATCTAGAAGAGGGTTACAGTGTGATTGAGGTGGTGTTTTGGGTATTTACCTTGAGCAGCGGTTATTAATGTTTTACCATCTTTTGAAAAAATACCACAGAACGCTTTTCCGTTATAAATATCCAAGACTGACATACTATTTGGTAAAAACCTATTGCTTACTTTACATTTAAGGGCGTATGAAAAACTTCTATAAGGGCACATTCCTTTCTGGAATAGTGGCAATAAATTTGCACATGCTTTGTGTTTCACAAAGCTAGTATAAAACTTACTTCTCTGTTCAGCACCATATCTGATATATTTTCTGAAGACTTTAGTTTTTGGCTACTTTCTCCTAAACCTGAGGCCATCTTGGTTGATAATGAAAATTCACTTTTCTAAAATTACATTGGGTTAATAATTTTCTTGTGATTAATAGAAAAAAAAATAAGCTCTTTTAAGTGTAAGCAAAATTCAAAATGTATAAATACTACTATTCTACCCGTATTTTTTTATACAGGTAGTTTTTTCGTAAGAATTCAAACAAATCACGGTAGTTTATAACGAAAAAATGGGTTAATATTGCAACAGTAATAATGGCACTATAATATCATCTTCCCATCAAACATAATCGCTTTTTTGCTATTTTCACAGCTGATGATATATGTGATATGTATTATTATTATAGCGCAAATACAAGCTATAAAGATGCCGTTTAAATGATACATTTAAATGTAAAAAAATAAATGATACTTACATCAAGAACTGTAGTGTTTGGCTTAAATTTAATTTTTGGCACTTTGGGACCATTCACCGTAATGTACTCACTATCCATTATTTCTACCTGGCCACTAGTCGCAAAATCAAAATAATTATAATGTTGTTATGTATGTTTTTAAGCATGACTGATACTTCTACTTGAAATGTATGTACAAAATTAGTTTTCATAATTTTGCAAATTTAATACAGCTGACATATAAAAACCGATTTTCCACCCAATCAATGAATTAACGTACGCTACCGTAGAAGATAAATGACACAAATTAATCTTTTTTTCATGAACCTTATATTTAGACCGAAGTACAATGACTTCATCGTGCAGTTAATCGAAACCTACCTGTCTATTAAACTTTGTAAAAGAGCTACATGCTGGTGTTCCGTTTCGCGATCAGAATCATCTTCAGAGACTGCATTTGAACGTAAACCATGATCGTCCATTCTTCTTGAAATATATGATCCCATGGAATGTTAAGGGCAGATTTTAATTTCCGTGCTACAATAACACATCCCCATTCAAATATTTAATTTCACAATAGCGATATCTAACAAATGTTACTTCCTTGTGGAACAAAAAAACGGTGTAAAAATCAATATCAATCAAAAATATTAATTTGCACAACTACAATTTCTACAAGTTTATTTTGACAAACGTAAAATGACAATGACAATGGTTTGACTTACAAACTGCGCATTGTTTTTACGCAACAAATCAGGATTGCCACAAATGTGCGAAATAACACTTCTTGTCAACCGATACAACCATTACGATATTTTATAACATGATTGTATAACGATGAGCCGTAAAATATAGGTTTGCTACTAAATATTATTGCATAACTTGGACATGACGCAACACTCACTTTCTTGCGCTCCGGGGTTACACAATTAATATTAGGTTGGCATTGTGACTATGGCTATAAATCTTTGTATGAATTTCGGTAACAATTCTCAACAATAAATAACCACAGATTTTGAAGCAGATTTACATTTTTTGAAGGTCCAGTGACCCAGATTGTACGTGTTGGCAGAACTGCTCTTTCATGTCAACGTCAAAATTTCCTACACGTCGAATGTCAACTTTTGACAGGTGACGGATTTTTTTTATCTTGTTGGACGAAAGAGATCAGTGACGTGGAGTTTCAGCTTGGGTTAGTTAATATATTTTTTATTAAAAAATCATAAGTTAAACTTATAATAACACACACATTCCGTAATGGCTCCACAAAAAATTAATATAAAAGAGCGATTATCAGATGGAGAAATCGATCTTAGCATGTCAGATTTACAGGATGTTCCTGTTAAAGAAATTGTAACAAAAAATGAAATAATTTGTAACATAACTGCAACCTTTTAGTTTCAGGCTGTCTTCAAGAAGGCCGTGAGTTTAGATTTATCAAATAATCATTTAAAAGCTCTACCTGTAAGTATAATCGATTACATGGATACAGTATTTTGGAGTTGTGTTTCTAGGGCAATTTTGCGACACTTACTCATTTGACAAAACTTGACTTGAGCAAGAACCAGTTGACAGAATTGCCTGAAAACTTTGGAGATTTAGTTAAACTCAAGTATCTTGATTTATACCAGAACAAGCTACAGTATTTACCACTAAGTTTTAACAAACTAAAAGCTTTAAAGTGGTTGGACTTAAAAGACAATCCTTTGGTACCAGCTGTCGCTAAAGTAGCAGGTCCTTGTTTAGATGCCAAACAGTGCCAGACGAGTGCTAGAGATGTTGTAAACTTTTTTACGCAAGTACAAGAACAGATTGCAAGTGATATTGAAAATAGACAAAAACAGAGGCAGAAGCAGCTTGAAGTTAACCAACAAAAGGAAATGGAAAACAAGAAAAGTAAAAAGAAAGAAAAGGTGAAGCAGAAGAAAGAGAATGGTCCTGTAAAAGAGAATGTTCAAAAGCCGCAAAATAAGAAAAGTAAGAAAGCAGCAGCATCTGTAGACAAACATCCTCAAAAACCGTCCTCTATATTTAAATCATTTATGGGTGTGACCATCTTTATTTTCTTACTCCTGTTTGTGCTGACATCAGTGAAGTTTGAGCATACACAAATAGTAGAAGAAAAATGTTCGGATCTTTATAGTGCCACTGTTAATGCATTACCACCTGGTGCAAAGGTATACGTAACAACACTTGGTGGCTATTTTAAGTATTTGCATGACAAGACTGGAAATGTTACTTTAGCCTCAGTACATTATGTGAAAAACACAGACAATTTTGTAAATGCTTACCACACACTAGGTGATTATATAAAATCAGTTTTACAAAAAATTAAAGAAGAGTACAAAAAGTATGTTTCATAAGAAGTGTTTTACATTCTTGTGTTCATATCATCTTTTTGAATAAAATGATAAAGAATATAATTGGTTTTTATTGTAAATATTGAAACAAATATTGATAGCGTTCATGAAATTATTTATTAGTGAATACTTTACAAGTGATGAATATTCTTGATTTTACATTAAAAATGGTCAGTCAAGGTCACATTGAAAATTATAACAGGATTTTAAGTCAAATCTTACTTTACTTTCACATTAATGCGTTCCTATAATATTTTACTGTATCATCATCACCAAGTCACATAAACTTGTTTATACTACATACCAAACAATTATTTATTCATAACCAGATATAAGCAATTAATAAAATTAATTATGATTTTACTAATGACGGATGATTGTTACTTTGTTTTGTAAATAAAGTCAATTTTGATTAAGTCAGACACACCACTTTTTGGTGAATTTACTGATCAATGTTAAAATTTGAATTTCGCGCGCAAAATTTGTGACGAGTTAAAAAAACCCTGTTGCTTTAAGTCTGATTTAAAGATATTACAGTTAAGGCTGTTGTATGTTAGATGCTAACATTAATATATTATTCATTGATTTGTAAATAACGGTTTTTTATAAGAAAGAGTAGTAAATCATAAACATTTTTTTTAATAATACCTATTATGCGAAATGAACACGCATACATACTTCTGGGAAGTATTCAGCCTGTAGTTCAAGCTTTTTATTAGAACATTTTAATTTATCCTAACTGACCCGCCCGGAGATAGTGAATTGTGTTTAACAGGTATACGATTTAAATTTAAACCAATTAAACTTTTTAGATTTGTTTGATACTATTTCATACTTACTTAATAAAAAAAATAAAAGATTAAAAATTAAACGAAATGCTTTTTTTTAGATCAGATGAAGACAAGTCCAAAACAAGTGTTAAATACATTTATTTTTTTTGTATGTGATTAAAAACATTGCCCGAAAGTTATTTCGACAGGATTTCCCTCGCCCCCGAAGTGCAGTGCCACAAATCCCGCTTCTTTGAAAAATAAAAAAATAGATTTTGCGAATTTGTATTCGTGATAACCTCTATACAGTAAAATAAATATAGATAAGTAAAACCATCAGTAACCGCATAAGAAGGTAAATGACATCATATAAATTCGTTTTGATACCCTGTATTTTTTTTTAATTTTTCTAATTTCTTCTCAGTCTTAGCAAATTTTTCTAAGTCCAGATTTCTTCAAAATTCCGCCAAAAATAGTGGAAAAATCGGAAAGCAGACGGAGTGTGGCCCACGGCACCTCGAAACTTGAATGAAAATCACTTTCTGCGCTATTGCTTTTATAGAGATTTTTGCCCATTTATTTTGTCTCCCGCGACGTTAGCAAGCAATAAAAAGGCTTAAGTTTCATATTTGTAATGATTTCCCAGTTTGCCGTTGTCTAAAAGATAACAATGACAATTTATTGTTACGAAATGCACCCTTACGCCGCCCCGGTACGACGCCTATGGCCGTCGAGAGCTTTCTGGTAGTACGCACGGCGTTGATAGGTGAGTCATCATTGCTGTCGGTGTCGACGCGGCGTTCCACAAAGGCAAGTCTGTAGCGCTTACCGGAAGTCTCGATTGCGGGCCCAGAAAACTCTCGAAGCGGCGTTCTGGATCCATCGAGAGGCACGCATAGGTTTAAATAGAGGCCAGCGTCGGGAACAGGGATCATTCAACTAGTGGAGTCAAGGGCGTCCAGTGAAATGCGCCGAAATAATTGTGGTACATAATCACAGTAAGAGTTAATCGTGTAAATTATAGTTAGTAAGAAAGAAATTGTTGAGTTTTACCCACGCCAATGTTATTTGCCTGGTGTTGTTCTTGTTGTGCCAGTTTCAATCTATGTTTCAAATCCACAATTTCAAGTTCATGTTCAATGAACATTGTTCATGTTTTAATTTCTGTATTTCTGGTTCTTTAGATAGCAAAACTATCATTTTCTCATCATTGGTTAATTTCTTTAAAATTTCTTCTGAAGGATCTCCCTGAGAATGCATTATTTATTTTGCGTTATAATTCATAATTTTATTAAAGAATTTACTGTTATAATTGCAATGATGCAACACAGAACACAGAATTGCCAACATGAAAAATAAAATGGAGTGTAATATTGGTTAGATATCAATCAAACCAATAACCACAATATAGTCAACAAGTTCCCTATACTGTGCCACAGACAATGGCAATAACTTCTTAAAATTACATATTTTGTATCTATCGGTTTTTATATTCTAAAAACGTATCATGTTTCTTTCCAGATGATACGTCTAGAAAATTTAGATGTGTCAAATATATTTTATTATGTATATCATTTTTTTGTTAAGAATTTATTTAAATATGACTCATTTTAATAATTAAAAAATTTATTGATTTTGTATTTAAAAACCATTTTTTTCTGAAGAGGCCCATATAGTACAAACCATGGTACAAACTTAAAAACAGGTCGAAATGCACAGTCGAACTCTATGGTCGAACTGAAGTCAGTACTTACAGTATTCGTCGTTACGGAAATTCTTGTGGAATCTACGAATTTTACATAAGCATTTAAAATTTACAAACGTCAACTTATGAAAGTAAATTAATCATCAGCATAATTGGCAAGTACAGTATTGTTACGAAATAAACCCATACACCGCCCCGGTACGACGCCTATGGGTTTTCTTGAGGGCTTTCTAGTATGTACGGAGATAATGGGTGATGGAGGCCTGACGGCATTCGCTAAATAAAAGGGGGGGGGGGGGGGTGTTACCGGAAGAAGTCTCGATAGCGTGCTCCAGAAAAACCTCGAAGCGGCGTTCAAGAACCATCCAGAGGAACACATGATTATTTAAATAAGGACCACTGTCGGAAGCAAGCTAGTCAAGTCCACTCAATGTGGAGGCAATCTGGGTCTTGTCAAATCCATTCCAGTCGGAATTATTCTGTAAAAATCTGTAAAAAAATTTCCACAATTGACGGTGACCAATTGTGGAAATTTTTTTATTTAGTTTATTTCTAATTATGTATTACCAAAAAACAATACACTCGTGTTTAACAAGAGAACTTTGTATTTGAGTACTTGTAAAGCACTCAAAATCAACGAAAAATTGTATTGTACAAAATTGTACAACGGAATTATATGGAAAAGGACTATAATTAAAAAAATCCTACTTGTAGTACCCACTATAGATCTTCTAAGAAACAATAATCGAAAGTGATAGCGGTTATCGGACACACTTTAATATGAAATAACAAAAGTGTCAAAAATTTTCCTCAGCTGACTCCTTCTTTACAGAGTCGGAATAGATAACAAACATGCACACTTTAAGCTCATGCGATTTTCAGTGTACAGAACACAATGCGCTGTGAAGTCAACGAATTTGATAAAAACTCAGAAATGGAATTCAACAAAACACATTTATAGACTCTTTCATTTTCTAGACAGTTGAATGCTTCTATTTGCAAATGTCCTTCTATCCATTAAAAAAAAGATGGTCGAAATTTATTTCGACAGAACTTCCTCCGCTTTTTTGAAAAATTATAAAATTAGATTTTGTAAATCTGCAAAAGAAAGCGAATTACCTAGGATCAATAGCTAAACAGGTTATTTCAAATGACTGTATTTAATTTATGCATATCAACTTGTACAGTCCGACCCTGCGCTCACTTATCCTTAAGTGTTTTGTATCTATTTATTGCTCGTACGACAACAAGTTTAAAAAAGTTTGTTATATCTGTGACGTTCAAAAGAATGGCAGCTTTGTGGGTACTATTATTTTGCGGGATTGTTACACAAACTGTGGCTGACTATGAAGCAAACTGGGATAGTTTAGACAGCCGTCCACTTCCTGATTGGTATGATAAAGCAAAAATTGGAATTTTCCTCCACTGGGGTGTCTACTCAGTTCCCAGTTTAGGAAATGAATGGTTCTGGAGTAGTTGGGTAGGTACGTACGTACTTTCAAAAATTCAGCCATCAGTTTATCAATGATACAAATATGTTCAAATTTTAGGAGGCAATAGTGAAATTGTAAACTTTATTGAAAAGAACTACCCACCTAATTGGACTTATCAAGACTTTGCGGAACAATTTACAGCAGAATTTTACGACCCCTATACTTGGGCCGACTTGTTTAAAAATTCTGGTGCAAAGTAAATCTACTAAACACATTTCAATTTATTGCAGCTAATAATTTAACATGTTACTAGATACGTAGTACTGACCAGCAAACACCATGAAGGATATGCTATGTGGCCATCAAAATACTCCTACAGTTGGAACGCGAATGACGTGGGTCCGCATCGTGACCTTTTAGGTAAGAATTTTTTAGTACAAAATAAGCGTCACCAGTTTTTGTATTTTTAGGAGATCTTGCGAAAGCTGTTAGGACCAAAGATCTCCACTTTGGGCTCTATCACTCTCTGCTTGAATGGTACCATCCTCTCTACGAAGACGATAAAGCAAACAACTGGGCAACGTCTAACTTTGTCGATTCAAAAGTCATACCAGAAATGAAAGAACTTATCAATACATATGAACCTGAAGTTTTGTGGTCTGATGGAAATTGGGAGAGTCCGGACACTTACTGGAAAGCGACAGAATTTCTTGCTTGGCTTTACAATGAAAGTCCCGTCAAAGATGTTGTAGTTTCAAATGACAGATGGGGAAGTAATACTCAATGTATCCACGGCGATATTTATACTTGCAACGATAGATACAATCCAGGTTCGCAATTTTGTATTTGTATCTCACTTATTTATTGTCATTGACAGTGTCTTTCTGCAGGCGTCCTTCAACCTCACAAATGGGAAAATGCTATGACTGTTGACAAAAACTCGTGGGGCTATCGAAGAACAGCAAAAATATCTGACATTCTGACAATACATGAACTTATTGAAACTTTAACACAAACAATCAGTTGTGGAGGTAACTATGGTATAAAAGTGTCGAATAAAGTACTACATTTCTCTTTAGGAAATATTCTTATAAATGTCGGACCAACTAAAGAAGGAACTATCGTTCCCATCTTCCAAGAACGTCTTCTACAACT